TAAGACCAAAATGACGAGGCTCACAGCAGCAGTTACAGAGAGAGGGACGATAAGATCCAAATGTAAATCAATTGGAGCCAGAGTCAGAAGGAGCCAGAAGAGCCTCCTGGCGAACTTCCTATTTGACACGTGGCGGCTACAGCGTTAACTCTGTCCACTCATATATACGGTCTATGTAGTAGGAGTAGTAGGAGTAGTAGTAGGAAAAAAAAGAAAATAGAAAAAAAGGAAAAAAAATAGAAAAATTAGGAAAAAATAGAAAAATGAAAAAAATAAAAATAAAAAAGAAATGAAAAAATAGAAAAATAAAATTGAAAAATGAAAAAAATACAAATATAAAAATAAAAAACAGACAGAAAAAATTTTAATAAAAAAATAGGAAAAATGAAAAATAAAAAGAAATAGAAAAATAAACAAAAGAAATAAAATATTAATCATAGTAGAAACATAATTGAAAAATTATAGAAAAGCAAAATAGGAGGGTCTCTGAATACATGTAGACATTGTATTTATTCACCCAACTATGGAATAAGGCTGTAGTGCCATATACACATCTATATATATATACACACACATTGGATCTTATAATCCAGCCCATGTTCAAAATAATCATTAAGACCTTTTGGAGCCAAAGTTTGGAAGGTATAAATCCAATATGCCTCCCTTTTATTTGAATAGACAGTCATGATTCTCAGACAGTAAAATGTGTTTATTAGATGCAGCCTGTAGACAGTGGACATAGGTCAAAATCTCTTTGCTGGCAAAAGAGAATGTTGCTAAACTATATGAAAAGAAAACAAAATCCTGTACAGCCCGTTTAAGCCCAGTACATTTCTGTTGCCACATACATCTCCACATACTCTGAAGACTCACTATATGTTGAGGCTTGCTTACATTTTTTGACTGGCTTCTCTCTATTACGACTTCACGCCTCGGGGACCACTTCATGCTTCATTTAAAGAGCATTTATGCACAGTTCATTGGCTCCTTTTTAAGATTATTTTCTCAGCAAAGTAAAGAATATATTTAGTCTGCGTTATAATTACTGTTGCCAAGAAATGGTGCAATTAGACATGCTCAGTGGACCTTTACCGTGATTCAACAAATGCCAAAAATAACACGCACAGTTAATTTTTATAGAAAAGGATAATTGATAGAAGAGATTAGAGACTCTTATACAAACAAATGTGTTAAAACTGGTCAAATCTCACATGTAACGCACATTAAGTTGATGTAATACCTTTACGCTACATTTCAATTTCAACCTCAAATAATTTGTAGTAGTAATGACAAAATTAAAAAGGGGCTATTGATAGTTTGCAGTGACATCATGCTGGGGGTGTTCTACATTTATCTCTATTGGCGGAAGGTTCAACAGTTTCCATGGTCACACAAAGCACACGTTAGCAAACACTGTCAAAAAAGTCAAAGAAAAAATACAAAATGGATATGGGTGATACGGTCAAAAAAATCTTGAATTTTTACAGATTTTAATCAAAGTCGGAGCAGAGATTCATCTATTAAACAGGGGAAGCTCTTTACGTTTTCATTCTTATCATATTCTATTCTGCCTTCATTTAAATTTGTAGAGATTTGTATTTGTAAATACTTACAAAGCAGGGGTATTGTGCAAAGTCAGGAGTGAACTTGTTGCACTGACTCTGCACAGAGCTCAAAACACTGGGGTGTGAAGGCTGAACAATACGAGAACAAGATGCTATATTTTTTTCGGTTTTGCTTTGCGATTGCAATAGTAGAATACTTTTTGACACAATAATTTTTGTTAATTTAAAAACAGAAAATATACAGGCCTTCATTTACGAGTCAAACGGGTCAAAATAGAGTAGGGCAATTAATCAAATTAATTAGACCAATTCAGGGTTGTGTAACCCGCATTTGAGACACTTTTATTGTTGTGGGTCAATTCCGCATTACCGATCTCCCCCACTTCCTTTAAGTTGCGGGGTCGCCGTGTCACTTCCTCCTCCTTCCGCTCCTGCTGTGGCTGTGGCGTGGTCTGGGCGTCAGCAAACAATTCCAATAAACTTTTAAACTACGAATCCATTCATATAAACTGGGCCGTGTGTGGAGAGAAGATTACAACCCAAAATTCAAAGGTCAAGTTTTTTTTCCCTATGGACTGATTCAACTCCAGCTTCGCAGAAATTCTCAACTCAACTAGAAACCAATTGATGGCGAGCTTACCCAGAACCTGACTTTAGATTAACTTGGACTAAAATGCCAAATAACTGGGCTGTTTTTTTTCTATTCTATTTTGTTATTGTTGTGTTCTGTTTAAAAAAAAATCCTTTCAGTATACTTCACCCAAACTTCAGATTCCTGTCTGTCTCTTCATTCACACTCAGGCTCCTAAAAGGACAATCTTCTGATGCAGCCTTTGTGGCCGTAGTCTGCCCCTAGCCTAACAAATTTGCATTACTGTTGGATTTTTGAAATGTTGCAAAATCCTGACACCGAGGGTCATTATTAATCAAGTTCACTCCTGATTTTATTACTTACAAAGTACGTATATTGTGCAATTAGTTACACATCTATACAAATGTAAATGAAGGCTGAATAATAGAACATTGTGGAAGTTGTGCGTAATGAAAAGGAGCCGACAACTTCTCACATTTCAGACGCAGAAAGCCGTGTGTCACTTTATTAACTGACCAGAAAACTCAAGACAAAATGGCTGATAACGGTAAACAGAAAACAGGTCTTAAAGCAACTGAGACTATACTGTATATAAAGCATAAAGCTGAAAACTGAACACTGAACATAAAGTGCTTAACCAATACCGGAGTGGAATTATTTTTAAATGAACAGAAACTATTGTGTCAAAAAGTATAGTCTAATATTGCGATTCGCAAAGTAAAACCTCAAATATAGCATCTTGTTCTCGTATTGTTGAGCCCTCGCACCCCACTGTTCTGAGCGCTGTGCAGAGTCGGTGCAGCAGCTGCGGTGAGTGGTCTCCTTCAGACTCCTGCATCAGCACAAACTCAAACTGCCCCCGGCGCCCCTGTCTCCACCTGCTGCGTCTCAAACACTCAAACGCGGGCCAAAAGAAAGCACACTTAAGCACGACGCCGTTTAAGAATTATGTTGACAACAGCTAACAACTGTTTTTCTCCGTTCAAAAACTATAATTTGCTTTAAATCGTTAATCGTTACAACAACTGTCCTAAGTGTTTCTCATTTTCAAAACTATGGATTAAAAAAAAAAAACGCCCTAGGAAAAAGCAAAATGAGTGTAGTGGAGGTGGGAGATTTTATTCATTATCCCAAAGACGTAAAGCCTGGTGCAATCCATCATAAATGTGCTAAGACATGTCAGTACAATTTGTGGTTTAGGTTCGAGAATCGCATAGAAGTGAAATTGGCCACGTACGAGCAGAAATATCTCTTGTTTGAAAGATTACACCATTCCTTATATAGAGAATTCTTGTTTTGGAGATATGAAACATTAGAATAGACTATATTATTTTTATAAGTAATTGTCGGGATTCTTGTTTTTAAAGATTTGGTACTAATTGAAAACTAAGATTGTATAAATTAATTGAATCTTCTCATCTGTCAACATAATGACGAGTGTGTTTAGTTACGTTCATTTATGTATATATTCCAGAGGTGTTGATTTGCAAGTTGTGACTTGGACTCGAGTCAGACTTGAGTCACTGTTTTTAGGACTTGAGACTTGACTTGATAAAATGGACTAAGACTTGGGACTCGACTTGGACTTGAAGGTCAGTGAATTTAATTTTACAGGAACAAACTGGACCATGTTCCTCCCACTTCTCTTTTACTTTGGATGTAACTGAAGTAATGTGATGTGGTATCCTCAAATGTACTACAGAAATATACAGAAATATACAGTAAAACAGAGGGAAGTATGGAGAACTACTTGGCAAAATAACTGTTATTAAGGACTTGTAAATCTTTATTCTTTCTATTCTGACCCTAATGATTTACGGTGAAGATTTTGTCAAAACATTTAAAAAGGAAAAAGTTGCATTTCTACTCATATATAAATATACCATGACATTTACAGTACAATTTATTTTAAAATTGATATTAATTGCAAAAACCAAAGCTATATTTGGTAATTCTTTGGTTTAAAGACTTGACTTTGGTCACGCAAGTCCTTTTGCATTTGATCTGCTTTGAGCATGATTGAAAAAGAATACAGTACTTGGATTTAGCCTCTACTTGTTCCTTATAGTCATAGTTTTAGTCATGTTTTACTTTTATTTAACTTTTCACTTGCAAAAGTATTTGACAAACCAAATTTTTAACTAAACAGTATCATTCAAATTCTCACTGCATTACAAACAAAAATTGCTGAAATGACTTAAAGCTCAAAGCAGACAACTTGAACTTGACTTGGACTCGTGGGCCAGTGACTCGAGACTCGACCTGGACTTGCCTGTATTTGACTTGGGACTTGACTCAGACTTGAGCTCAAAGACTTCAGAGTTACTTGAGACTTGCAAAACAACATCTTGGTCCCACCTCTGATATATTCAGTCTACGGTCACAGCTGATGGAGTTAAAATCATAATCCTGTAGAAGTATCATCTCTTCAAAAGTTCATACTAAATAGAAGTTTTAAAAAGTACATACTCTTAGATGTACAACGTCGTCTTTCACCAAAATCACCCATAAAATCGCAGACAAATTTCATACATTTTATTTTAACATGCCAATTTATTTTACGTCACTCTTCACCAACCACCATCTTAAAAGTGTCACGTTTTTAAAATCATTTTGAGTTAATCAGGCAGAGTTAAATGTATTTACCTGTAGTCCATTTGCATAAACTCACTCACTGTCACCCTTTAGTTCATTCTCAGCTCTCACAGCATGCACACGGCTACACAGACTTTTGCTTTGCTGTTTTGGCCTCTGCTTTCTCCTCCTTTTGCAAAGTGCTGTTGTATTTTATTTCCTGTGTTGTTTCTTTGCCTGTACCTGAGGAGTGTTCGATTGAATTTCAGGTCCTCGGAGGCGAAGTGGAAATGCAGGCACACAAGCAGACATAAATCCAGCACTCCTTGGTTCCCCTGTCCCTCAAAAACGTGAAGCTTGTTTTGATTTTAGTGTCATTTTTGAGCTTGTGCGATTGAGTTTGCCGCTGAATCACCCCCTTTGCTTGCACCTGTGAAGTATTGCCATTGTCACTATGTTAACATGCACACCAGTACTCAGACTACGCTCATTGTCAGATTACAATTGGATCTTAACAGCGCTGGTTCCTAGGTAACCTGGCTAAGTCACAATTTCCAGGAAATGAAATGTATTGTCAATAAAACTAATGCCAGGCATGCACTGTGCGATAATTTCAATCGTTTCACTCAGCCCCAGCTCAAACTTTATGACCAAATCACAGGGATTAAAAGTTCACAGCTCGTGGAACTACTTCAGCCATGCAAAACCCTCACGAGAGGCGACTGGATTTCCAACGGGTTCGAAATTCTTCCGACCTATGATTGACAATCGAGAGCTGCTTGTGAATTGGTTCTCGTTATTTACTACGACACACAAAAACAGTTGCACGAATGAAAAATCGACTCAAAAAGGGCCAAAAATCGCACAGTGTACGCCCGGCTTTAGACCTCTAAAATCAGAGGCAGCGCTACCATTAGGCAACAGGAGGTGGCTGCCTAGGGGCCCCCAACCAATTGCCCTCAGTGTCACTAATGGCCAAGTCCTCAGAGTAATTTCATTTAATGTCATATTGAGAGAAAATGACAGTAGTTTTACTTTTAAACAAGAAAACACCATCAAAAGAGTATCTCACTGTCAAATCTATTTCAACTCAAAGCATCTCTCCTTTCACTTTAGAATGTACTAGTCCACAACATAATAGAAGCAGAATAGAAGCAGAATCATAATCATATGTAATCGATGTAAACAAAAATGTGATTGTACTAGCAAAAAAATAAAACTACTTTCAGTTCTGGTTATCTAGTAGGTGACCAAACTAATAAGACAAGTTTCCAGTCCACCCCAATTCAAATAAAGATGTGTGTGTCTCATGAACAATAGATAAATAAATAAATTTAATAATAATAATACAAAAAAAACCAAAAACATGCACTATAGTAAGGGCCCCAAACTCTAGTTCACCTAGGGCCACCAAATTGCTAACTCCACCACTGTCTAAAATTAAAACACATACATATATGCTTTTTGTATCTAACACTTACTTTCTAAAAATGCATTTTGACCAATTTTAGTCAATCTTTGGCAACGGAATTCCTTTTGCATTTGTTCAGCTTTGAGCATGATTTGAAAAAAGAATACATTCAAATGCAATTGTTGGATTAGTTGTTTCTTATAATCATAGTTTTAATCGTGATGGAACCATTTTTATCTCAAAAATATGGCAAAATGCAGTCTAATGCAACAGTTTAATCGGATTTAGCCTCTATTTCTTTCTTATAGTTATAGTTTTAGTCGTGTTTTAGTTTTATTTAGCTTTTCTTTGGCAAAAATATTTGACAAACGAAATTTTTTACTACGCAGTATCATTCAAAAAGCCCGAACTCCAACAAATAAATTAAGGAACGAACCAATAATTAGGCATAGAAGTCTAGAGCTCAAATCTTATTGCATTACAAACAAAAATACCCCAAGTCCTCACACCTGGACATGATAAATTATTGAGCCCCAAAATATATTCCAGCTTTCATATCTTGAACAGGAAGTCTCATTAAATTGTGAACTGCTATGGCTTGAAAAAAAATAAAACAAAAAAGGACTGGGCTGAAATTACATGCTGTGAAATTAACACTGATAAATGCTGCTGAAAGTAAGTACAGCTATATCCAGTTTGTACTCAGATTACAAAAAAAAGATACCAACAACTTCACGTATCGTAGTCCTAATTTGACATACTGTTTAGAAATCCTGTTATAATCAGATTTAAGGTAGAAATTCAGTTTTCCTGGTGTGCCTGTAAACACAGCGACTGTCAACTTGTTACTTTGTCAGGACGAACGTAACAAGCGAACTCCTGTGTCTTGTTTGTCTTGTTTCGTTAAAAAGTTCCTTAAAATAAATAAAATCTATAGTTTTGCATGTTTTTGTCTCCTTTTTTAAATTCATCCTCTGCTGTTGTCCAGATCGGAGTGAGCATTTTTGACTCCTTTAAGTCTAAATTTAAGGCTTAATCGTGTTTGACAAAATTGCATTCTGAACAAATTCAAGGAGACCACATTTTTCCATAACTTCTCTGCATCTTCCCCAAAACCTCCAACAGTCCTGGTCTTGATTATCTCCTTGTGATTTGACTGCTCTAAAAACACTGTCGATGTTCCCCACAGTCCATTCCTTTTTTGTAGAGAAATAGTGTAATACTAGAGTGGGAACAGTGTAATGCTTTGTAACTGAGGCCCTATTTTAAATCATGGCTTTATGGAGGTCGGATGTTCATTAGTTTTTGCCTAAAGTCTCTGCTTAAAAATAAAAATGGGACTGTTAAAGTTGCACTGTGTTACTTTTTTGGTGGAGGATCCGCTACCTGCTTTACCTGGGATGTTCCATGGTATGACTTTAAACATATGAATCTGTGTGTCATTCGTTCATTTGTTTTTCAAAATAAAACCAAAAATAAGAAAACGAAAAAAACAACGATTTTCTTCATTATTTGTCTTCAAAAACAAAATGATAAAACAGATAAAGATTAGTTTTTTTCATTTTTCGATTTTGTGTTTAAATGAATAATGGAAAAAAACGGATAATGACAGTTGCGCATTTCTGTGACTTAAACTGCGATGCCGGACTGAAACAGGACTGAAACGGGTCTAAACCGGCTCTCAACCAGTCTCAGTGCCGGTCCCAGTCTCAGTCCTAAACCTGGACTGAACCAAGAGAGTCGGGGCTGGCGTGCGCCCGTGTAGACTGTCGGGTGATCAGGAAACTGGGACCAGACCGGTACTGAGAACGGGACCAGGACCGAGACTTGGTTTAGTCCTGGTTTAGTCCGTATGTAGCACAAAAGTCTGGCATCGCAGTTTAAGTCACTAAAACAGGAAACGACCATTATCCATTTTTTCATTTCATTTTGGTTTTGGAGACAAATAATGAAGAAAACAGTTGTTTTTTCATTTTATTATTTTTGGTTTTATATTGAAAAACATGAACGAATGACCTACGAATTCATATTCACCTAGCATTTATTAATTACGGATGTTTTTATTGCTCAAAAATACCCTAATTCCTTCTGAAGATCTGATCTGAATTGTAATGTGGCCTAGTGCTGTAACCTGCACATGACAGATGATTTTAATCCATACTGTGGAACATTCTAGAAAAAGCAATAATATTTCCATGGAGATGAGCAGTTTGGCAGACCCTCAACTAGAAATTTTATGCACTTTTTTTAAAGATTTTCAGAGTTTCAACTTTTCTCAGACCCATAGACAGAAACAGCAGAAATTCATTGTTTCAATGTCCCGTTACAGGCTCCATTTTAAGTACTTTTTAGTGTCATGGAAACGGCACTAAATTTGTTTCTGCCACCACACTGAAGTCTTTTTCCTTCATCTGAACCTTCTAATTAATTAAAGAAACATTTAGGCACAGAACAAGTTTTATGCTAAATATTGGCGGATGTACCTAGTTCTAACAAAGCTGATTTTTAGATTTTAGTTTGAAAAGTATTTCTTGAAGCATACTAGAGTACTTTTATACTTATTTTATGCACAAAATCTACTAAAATTAAGTTGGAACTCCAGTGGACCTGAAGTGGAGCAACTTAACAGTCCCATATTTAATATTCATGGGTTTCAGCTTCCCATTTATAGGTGACATTTTGAGGACTTTTCACCATTCAGAAGATAATATTTAGTTTTTAAATTCACTTAATTTCTATGGCAACTATCCTAATTTTTCATCATTCTGAAACCCATGGATAAATAGTTGTATAAGCGCAATTTATTTTTGTCAAGTTTAAATTATTCGCAGTATAAATTAATTTGCATCCATCCATTTAGAGCTGGTTATGCATTTCAAAATAGGGCCTCAGACAAGATTAAGAGCTGGACTCCCCAAATCTCAAATCTCTCCCTTTTTTTACTTAACATTGTCTAACTTTTTTACCGCCTCCATCTCCCAGGCTCAATGTCCTCTCCGGGCTGGCGCAGAGGCTCCGTCACCCCCGTGTCACCACCATCCCCTGCCCGGGCTGCCAGCACGACATCGACCTGGGCGAGCGCGGCATCAGCATGTTGTTCCGAAACTTCACACTAGAGAACATCGTCGAGCGCTATCGTCAAGCGGCCCGGGCAGCTGTGGCGATCATGTGTAATCTATGCAAACCTCCGCAACAGCAGGAGGCGACCAAGAGCTGCATGGACTGTAAGGCCAGCTTCTGTAATGAGTGCTTCAAACTGCACCACCCCTGGGGAACGCCCAAAGCCCAGCACGAGTATGTGGGGCCCACGACCAACTTCAGACCCAAGGCAAGAACTCTAACCTCTTAACTTTCTAATTAAAGACACATCAGGGCACAGAATGGGTTTTATGCTAAATATTGATGGGTGTACCTAGTTCTAACAAAGATGATTTTAGATTTTAGTTTGTAAAGTATTTCTTGAAGCTTACTAGAGTATTTTTACACTTATATTATGCACGAAGTCTACCAAAATGTCTTTTATAATGAATAAAGTTGAGGAGCAAACCCCAGCACGAGTATGTGGGGCCCACGACCAACTTCAGACCCAAGGCAAGAGCTCACTTTGATCACTGATGTTTTAATAAGACAAATAAAACATTCACTCATACTGGATTTGTATAATACATATCACCGGCCTTGTACTTTAATTTTCTACATATTTTTTTTGTAAATCAAATTCAGTTTTCGGTCTTTGTCTACTCTCCAGACCCTGGCAGTGTCCCTGGCTCCAACCTCAACAAATTGGAAAGATTTTTTACAGCCAAACACAGCCTATTATGTCATTGACTTATTTTTCTATTTTCGTGAATGATATTGTAGAGTAGTAAAAAAAAATCAATGCCCAGAGACCAATCAATACTAGAATCGAAACTATTTGAACAAGTATCAAATTGCAAATAATTACATAAAGTTTGACCTTTTCTTAGTTGTATGAGAATGATCTTGGTCCATGTCAAAATGGGGTCCCTAATACCAAATACATTTTTAAAAATTTAATAAATGCAGTTTGTGATTTACTAATTGCTCTCATTCAAAGACTGCAATTTCTCCCATAGCCAAAATGTAACGGTGTGTTTCTTTTAGGTACTCAGAGGGGGAAATACGAAGTTTACTCTTTTTACAAGAGAAAGCTTCAGATTATTTATTTAATAAAAATCTAAACTACATGCATAAATACAGAGAGGACTCATAAGTTACATACAGATAAAATATATACAGTACTTTTTCAAAGGGTGTGTTTTTGATGGGAAACATACAGTAATTTTAATTTATGTTTAAATTTGTTGTAATTGGTTTCCAATTTTAAATCATCTGGTAAACTGTTCCACAGTCGGTCCCCTTTAGCAGAGAAAGAGACTGACCAAGAGTTTGTCCTGAACATAGGAACAACACAGTTATCAACAGTCGCACCTCTTGTGTCAGCTCTGAATTTAAGATTGTTAAAATTGGTAAAATTTAAGTTAAAAGGGTTATGTTTCTTTAAAATTTTGCAGTGCTGCCAGTGTCTGGGCTTTTTGTCAAGAACCTTAAGGGTCAGTTTGTAAAATGGTTTCAATGTGGTTGAGGAGGCCTGCGACCATAAGGTGATACTATAAGATAAATGCGAAAAGATCTTTGCGTTCATGAATAGTTTAGAAGTCTGGAGCGTAATATCTTTACGTATGAAACAAAAGCAAATAAGACTAGTTTTAATCTTCTTCGCTAAGTATAATTAGGCACCATGAACTGTATCTTGAATCTTCAAACACAAATTGCACTGCTCCTGATTGTGTCCTGATGAACCCTCTGTATTATTATATTGATGGTATATTTTGTTTGTCAGGTTCTGATGTGCCCGGAGCATGAGATGGAGAAGGTGAACATGTACTGTGAGGTCTGTAAGCGTCCGGTTTGCCACCTGTGTAAACTGGGAGGGTCCCACGCCAACCATAAAGTCACGTCTATGAGCAGCGCCTACAAGATCCTCAAGGTACGACATTAGAATGAATACTTATTGTTTATTATGTTTTATGTTTGAGCTGTTTGAGCTATTTTACTAAAACATAACATAATTACATTTCAAATTTGACATACTTAGAGATAATTCCATAACTGCTGCAACCATAATGTTAAGAAAGGCCAAAACTTGTCTAATTTACAAAGATATAATTTGTGTAATAAAAACAAATAACACATTTATTTTAGTTGAATGAAGGTTTAAACTGTCTGAAATGCCTTTTTTGTGTGTTATCTCTGCATTTTGGGTGGAATTTTCTGTGTTGATGACATAGATAAAGGTATTTAGATCTATTACCTCCATTTACATCAGTCAACTGGCAGAAAAAAAAAATTAAAAAGTAAATATTTATCATAGTTTTTCAACAAGCACTATCCAAACAAACCCGTAATAATTAACACATTTTACCTGTCATATTACAGTTAGGATTGTTTAGTATTGCAAAAAGAAAAATGAAAACACTGTGCCCCTTGCTTCTGTTCATCTGATAGTTGAACCTCATGAAATATTAAAGTTTGTCCTGTACTTGTTCCTGACTGTAATCTACACTTTTACACAGTGGGAACAATGCAGGATGTGCTGTGGTTTGGACACACTGTTTTGGAGTAACTAAACATTAGGGATGCACTATACTGTATTTTTCAGTTTGCAAAGAATGAAATATCTGCAGCCTTTCGATTCAGAGTACATTTTGTTATCTAAATATCAAATTTCTAGAGAAAACCTTGTACTTGCAGCTTAGACCTCTACAATCTGAACTGAAACTAACAGAAGACATGTTTGTAGTCTTTTCTCAAATGTCAAGGCTCCTGGAGTTGTTTACAATGTGCAACCCGAAAAGAATCACAATTTCAATTTCAGTATTTGTCAGAAAAATTGCAATTGCACTTTTTTTTTTCCCCCCAAAATTGTGCAGGCCTACTTTCTCACAAAACTTTTCCACTCCCTATATTTTATAAACAACATAATGGATTAAAAAACAAAAAAAACAGAAAAAGCAAAAGTGATTTGAGCGTGATATTGACATCTACTTAAGTAATTGCCCACACTTGTGCCTGTCCAGAATGAATCTGCTGAAACATAATCTCGTCTTCTCTTGTAACAGTGTCTCTTTTTAATATTTAATGACCCATTTGTTCTTTTATTCGGTTTGGGAGTTCATTTCATCATAGAAGTCAAAGCTGCAGTTGTTGTTGTTTTGGAGTTATGCAATACCAGATGCATTGTTTTAAGAAAGCTGCTAAAACATGAAAATTGCTCAAATTTGCAGTTTTACAGTCCAACCATTTTTTGTAGAATACTTGAACCCCAAGCAAGACATCGGCGCATAGACACATTAAAACTAATTTGGATAGATTGCTAAAATATGATACTATTCTATACTGTTCTTTGGATTATCTTGATGACACTAAAGATACATTTTTGTCATTATCACCCATCTTTTTGTAGATACACTGTGTTTTAAATCTTTTGTGGTTTTGTTTTGCAGCGCTGTGCTTAAATGTTCCTTATTCTGTCCACAGGAAAAGCTGGCCAAGAGTATCCATTACCTCATCAGTAAAGAGGACCAGGTCCGGACTCAGATTACTGATCTGGAGTCGCTCATCAGTCAGACGGAGGTGAGGGCTGACTCAGGCTTTGGAGCTATAGATCTATAAACCTGACCTAAAGGATCTGATCTTTTAGTTGATAACACTTCATTAAGCAAGACTTGATTCATAATGGACAAAAGTTTGAGTAATGATTCAGGCTTGGTAACACCTTAATAAATAGACTATCTCCCCAACCCCTTCTTAATTAAAGCCAGAGGATGTAACCTAGGGTTGGGTGATATGGAGCAAAAAATATATTGAGATATATTTTTTTGCTCCATATCTCGATATCTCGATATCTGTACAGGAAAAATAACCCCCCAAAATTACTGTAAAAACAAATATGCCAAGTTCCACAAGGTTTTTTAATTGAAGTGCAAGAGTTCGGCAGTTCATGTAGGAACCAAGTGCTTCTGCCACATTTAAGATTACAAAAATCCTTGATTACATAAATAATAATTTTCATAAATAAATTCATAAATAAAACAACTCGACTCAAGCTGATCTTTGCATAAACTCTGTTAACCGTACAATAACCATGAGCTCCTTTAGCAGAGGAAGCTTAGGAGGTTTTCTTATTAACAGATCCATGTTCCTCACCAGCGTAAGGAGCTATGAGGTTTCCCACAATCCACTGCAGATCAAACCCAACGATTCCAAACACTATTGTACAAGTGACACTGCAGCAGATTATTAATTAAAATCTTCTGCATAAATAAACTTTACATTACTAAACTTTATAACATTTAAAGCATAATCACTATAGAGCCACATCAGCCCGTTTGAGATTATAATGTGTTTAATGCAGTTTTGCCACATTTGTTTACGTTTAACAGAAACTAAACTTAAAAGTGCATGGCTAATTTGCATAAACGGCGCACTCCTTGCGCTGCTGATGTGGTTCAGCTTCTTTCGCACTAAAGGACACGACTCAGTGGAATATGAGTGTTCTTTCTGTGAGGATGTGCTGCTGATGGTCTTGTCTATAAATGGTGGAAAAGATTGTGTGCGATTGTGAATGAGACACAAGCAGCAAAATCAGGGAGGCGGGGGCGCATGGAGGCAACGACAGTGAAGCAGCGAAATCAGAATTGAATATAAACATATGGATATATACGATATGTCAGAATCCATATTGAGTTAAAAAAATATCGATATCGCCCACCCCTAATGTAACCCTTTGCCAAATTTATACTAAAATAAAAGCAAGTGATAAAAGCAAGTGTTTATTGCACTGAAAATTTACAAAAACATGCACCCTTACTGTGAGCAGGCTTGCATCTCCACAAACCTGACTATTTCTTGGCTTGGAGAAGGGCCTCCACCTCCTGCTTGTTTCCATGGAAATGTTGTTCCTGTGGTTATAATATTCCACAGTATGACATAACACATGTCTGTCCCCATGGGGAATGTTCTTAAGCCACCTCCAATTATGATGTATATATCATAACTCCTCACCCTGACCCCCTAAATAGTTAAAAAGCCTAAAAAAAATCCAGTAAACTGTTAATAAGCTATACAATAATTTGTTCATTATGTATCAAGTCTTTGCTCATGGTTTATAGATACTAATTAAAGCGTAGTTCCAGCTAAAATGTCATACAGTAATATGCTGTCTGTTTTGTTTAAGCCCCAAACGTGTTTTAAAGTTGGAAACTGACAAGTGTTAACCTCATCAGACAGAACAAAAAGCAGGAAATGGCCTTTTCCCTACATGCATTTGAGTTCCTCTCCTTTCAAGTCTTCTTCCTCTTTTGTGCATTGGTTTAGTGTTTATAAAGCATATAATTTAACATCCATTAACAACAAAACAGCCAAACTATTAAAGTCAATATTATAAAAGATTATATTTTATGAGGTAAACATGTTTAATAGGAATATAGAAATGTGTGTTGTAATTTAGATTTATTCACAATTTTAAACAAAATCAGCATTTGGTCTGAAAGTTGTGTGATATTTCTGTTTTGGATTCCAAGCAATAGTGTAACTTTCCTGGTGAAGGGTGTGTTACCTGCTTGTGTCCTTGGAGATGTTATTTCTTTGCTTGCAATGTTGCAAAATATGGCATTAAACTGATCAATTTCCATGGACACAAGCAGAAGACTCCACCAAGCCAGTTTACAGGTGAGATCTGTGAAGCGGTGACTCCACAAGGCATTTTGAGCAATGAAAACACCCATAATTGAATAAATGGATCTTATATAAATTTCGGGATTGGGATTGCAGGATCTACAGACTAAAACTAGTTTGTAATGAACCCAAAAGCGCTCTCTCCGATATAACGTGTTCTCACATGACCGCTAATGACGTCTTTGATTCAGTTGTTATTGCAGTTATTTAACAACTTGGAGCACATGTTACGTTTATAAAACTCAAACTGATCTATGTGTGTGATATTTTTACTTACAGGAAAATGGGCAGTTGGCAGAGCGCAGTGCCAATGAGCACTTTGAAAGACTGTTTGAGACGCTGCAGGAGAGGAAGTCCGAGATGCTCCGGTCGATCGAACAATCTCGCAACCGCCGTCTGGACCAGCTCAAGGGACAGGTACATGATACAGAATGTGATACGAGCATATTATAACTCGATGACTGCATCTGAATGTCCACACTATTCCTGACACGAAGAACTATTGCTGGTTTTCAGATGAGCTCACAACATTTTATAGGACAAGACTCTTTAACTCTTTCCCCCATGAAGACTACATTTGACGACCCTCCCTTGTTTCCTTAAATCACGTCTTTAGTGATACAGCGGAGGTGTCAAAAGACGTCATTGACGACCATTACAAATGGCTCGGTTTTTCACATGTAATCAGAGACTGTGATAGGTGGGGGACACTACAACCCATACATACTAATATATTTGTGGGTTGTTCCAAGTAGGCGTCAAAGGGGGAAAGAGTTAATGGGATGTTGCTAAAGTTCATATTGTCCAAATGCAGATTTCTGTTGTAATACAGTGAGCTCTTGGCATTTGGGCGAAGTAGAGACTATTGCTTCAGTTCCTTCTTTGTCTGGTTGTTGTAGTCATTACAGAGCCTAGGAGTCATCATAATCTATACTTTACTCTATTTATACTCGAGGATTCAAGGGCGTAAGTTTGCATAGAGACAGTGGGGACATGTCACAACTAATATTTGGGGAAGACAAAATAGTCCCTACCAATATTTGCCATTTTATTTTAATAAACAAAAATATAAATTTATTCCAATATTTTTCCAAACTCAGTAGTATTACACGTTTTAATTGACATTTTGTTTATTAGACGTTCTGAGATGTATTCAGTGATATGACGACAGGGTTACTCCTGCCGCTGTTTCATTGGCTGCAACAGAGTGATGTCATTAGTGGAGCCAGGAGCCTAAACTGGGGAAGCGGCAGGACAGGGCCGCACCTGAAGATGGTGACTTGAGCAGACGTGAGTGAAGACGCTGCACCAAACTTTGAAAAAATTTTCAAAAGGAACTTACTTGGCTTCATCTTCAGTTAAACTTGCCTTATGAGTCACCACAGAAAAAGAGCGACTATCATCACAAGTGCACCTCCCAAACGGGGCCCTACTCATGCGCTGTGAGCAGTTGGATTCTACTGACAATATTCCACGAAAAAATTTACTGACAGGACCTCACAAATATCTCATCACCAACAAGCAAAGGGAAATCTGCTACAAACTTCTACATCTGTTTATCCACTAAAGAATCATCTTAGAAGGACAATGGACACAAACTGAACATTTTGTGAACTGAAAAATTAAACCACCTCTCACTTATTTTGGACCTGCCCAGACTGTGTGTGTTTTTAGAAAGAAATTGAAATATGGGGGGGACCAAACCTACATTTAATCAAATATTGTGGTCAACAGCGTCAAATGTGGTACCCAAATCTAAAAGGATTAAAATTGCACTCTGTTTATTGGCAGTTAGAGCTCTTCACGGCAGGGAAACTGTCCTCCTTAAAGTCACCAAAGATCTTCTAAAACCTGTTTTAAAATGTGTGATTAATATTGAATTCGTACGCAAGTGCACTGCTGTGTAGAGTAACATCATACACAGTGAACCTTTTAAGTACAAGAATATTACCAGTGGTACTTGAGTCACTGGCTTGGACAAAATGAAGGAGATATTTATTGTAATTTAGTAATAACGTTGTCTACCCGTTCCAGGTGGAGGAGTACCAGGGCATGTTGGAGAACAGTGGTCTGGTTGGATACGCTCAGGAGGTGCTGAAGGAAACGGACCAGTCGTGTTTTGTGCAGACCGCAAAGCAGCTCCATGTCAGGTACACTGCTCTTTATGAAGGGGATAGAGAATTTTTCTTTTTTGACAAAGCAAAAGGCAAGCAATTTGAGGATTTGGTTGTAAAATATACTCTGCATAATTCCATATATCTTACTTCTTATATTTGATCTCTTCTGTTTGTATATCAAATGTAGAAAGTAGTAAAAATATATAAATAAAACACTGAAAGAGAGAGGGGGGAGTTGAAACTTTTAGCTGGTCGTGAACACGTGTCCATGTTTCTGAGACTAACCCAAAGCCCCAGGACAGAGCATTGGAGCAGAGCGCTTAAAGCTGACGAACGACCGCTCTGAATAAACGGACTAATTGATCTCCATTAGCTGCTCTCAGCTTATCTGGAGCTTTGCACTTTTGGGACCATGATACTTTTGGCTGTGCTTTAAGGTCGTGACATTTCACACCGCAAAAACAAAAGCTACACTAATTAAAGGAACTGTATGTAAGGTTTAGATTTTAAATTGCCTAAACGTGACCTAACTTGTCCATGTTTACCTTGTATCTCGGGACACAATCAAATGTATAGATTGCTGGTAACAACTGTAATTGTTTGTCTCGAGAACCAAAACACAAAATTAAAATCAGACTCATGTGAGGCTCATTCTCTCATATGGGTTGCCAGTTTCATAAATTCTGTCTGATCTAAATAATTAATCAATGCTAGTGCAGCCTGTGCAGCTTAGTGAGTGAATTCTGGCAGGTTCTGAGATTTTACATGAGGCCTGGTCTGTACAAATACTGTATTTTCTGCACCATAGGGATGCACTCTTAAGCCTCCAACCCCATCAAAAAATGACTGCACGCCCCACAATCCAGAGCGCCCTATACACGAATCCACTCGGGTGTCCCAGCACGACTTCAGTAAACTACAAAGCCGCACCACCCGCAGAACACACACACACACACATTTACGCATATATTTAACGCGTTTAACACCTTATTTGATGCATATTACAAGCTTATTTAACGCGTCAAATTATTATACATATGATAATGATCTCCTCCCACTGTCTTGGTCAGTGATTGGCTGAAAGCACTTTAAATTTATTGACTGGGAAAAACAAAGAGTCCAGAACAGTCCAACACCGATGTTCCTATACACAATCTTTACTCTTAAAAAATAAACCTTACACTCTGTAAATTGTCATCTATCAAATTTATAACAGTTGTCGTGCACCTCAACGTATTTATCTTTTCAGTATGTCGCTCATTAAGCAACTGATTATTTAATTGTCTGTATACAATTGTCACAGGAAGACAATATTAAACACACGAACTCAGCCCGCTGGTGCTTGGACTGTTCTGGACTCTGTGGGAGGAGATCATTATCATATGTATAATAATTTGACGCGTAAAAAAATATTAATTTGACACGTTAAAAAATATTAATTTGTTGCGTCAAATAACAACAATGTGACATGTCAAATAACAATTTGACGTGTCAAATAAGAACTTAACGCGTCAGATAGTTATAAGCTTGTAATACGCGTCAAATAAGTTGTTAAACCCGTTAAATATATGCGTAAATGTGAACAGTTTGGCTTGCCATAGACGGCGACCACGCAGCGAAAAACACCCGCAGCGACAACACTCATTACTCCACGTGGACGAGGAACGGAACGGAGGAACGAACCGAAAAAGCGAGAGCAATGTGCCGCTTCTAGACACAACTGAACAACTGAGTCACTGCGAACACGCCGACAATCCAGCGTCCCAGACAGCACCCTCCCTACACGCCACAACTGAACAAAGCCCAGAGTCACCGTGAACGCCACAAACAAACAAAACACTCACCCATCCAACTGTTGTGTTTCGTTTAAAGTCCGGTGTGGTTTATTTGTGAAAAAAGTTTGAAAATAGACTATTCTATGACAGTGCATCTTATAATCCAGAGCGAATAATAGTGCAGAAAATACGGTAATTTGTCTTGAAATAATAAGAACTATAGAAACCAATCAGAACTACTTTAAATAGGACTAAATAAATCTTAAATAATCTAACTCGCTCAAAACAAAATGCAAAATAAAAGTATATGTTGTTGCTTTAATAAAAGTTGCCAGAGAAAAACCTTCCTTTTCTTGTTTTTTAGAATCCAGAAGGCCACAGAGTCGCTGCGCACCTTCCACCCGGCCGCAGACCCGTGCTTTGACGAGTTTGTGTTGGAGACGTCACGAGAGGAAACTTTACTCAAAGAGATGTGTTTTGGAGGAGGTAAGCAATGACTTTTCACATTTGAATCTAAGCCCAATCAGTGATCAATGTCTGGGTTCAGAAGTGTAATCCTCATTCATTCTAAAGGTTTTTAATAAGCTTCGAAGTTATATGGGTGAGCAGGATGACTCATGATATTTAAACGTGGAGAAACATTTGGATAATTTCAGGCCAGAATTGCCAATCTCTACTGAACAAAAGTCTTAAATGTAGCTTGATAACTACCGGTAACAACATTTTAACATGGCTTAAAGCTCACAAGAGTCACTTTTGTGTAATATAGGACGTTTAATCTTTTACATAATCTATAATCAATGCCTGGGTTCAGAAGTCTAATCCTCATTCATTCAAGAGTTTAAAAGTTACATGGGTCACTATGATGACTCTTGATCATAAAACATGGCCTTACTATTAAAAATATGGGTTACCTTTTGCATAACATTGATTATTTCCTTAACATGCACATCAATCATGAAACCGATCCCAGTATAAAAGAAAGTGGCACATTTGATTTCATTACCAGAATTTATGTAGTCTCTCTAAGTGTCTGGCTCTACCACATATGTATTTCGCCTTCGTGAGCGTAAGAACTGCAGCTTTTGGACTTGTAATTTTTAGAATGCATTGAAAGTGAAAGAGGGCGGCCACCATAGACTGTATAAAAGACTAAGTGAGTGCAACGTCACCTAAAGCGTTCAGCGTCGCTCAAATGAGGTTCACGATGCAAACGGTTACAGGAGCGAATCTGGAGCCAGGCTGTATGTTGGGAAAAGGATTTTTTTTTAAAGGACAAAATAATGAATAATAATAAAAAAAAATAATTGGGATCATGTAGAGTGAGTTAATACGAACATTTTAAGACCAAAATAACAAAGGCTCACAGCAGCAGTTACAGAGAGGAACGACCAAATCCCAATGTAATTCAATTGGAGCCAGGGTCCGAAGGAGCCGAAAGAGCCTCCTGGCGAACTTTCTATTTGACACACGGCGACTAGTACGTTGGCTCTCTCTACTCATATACACGGTCTATGGAGGCCACACTGCAAGCTGGTTAGTTTCACTGTAGACGTGATTCAAGTGGGTAAACGCGCCTAGTCAAGTCTGATCGGCTTTTCCATTAAGAAACACAGACCATATGCATCCTGTTTTTTATCTATTTTATTTATTTATTTATTTGAGACGGTTACAGCACACAATTTTTACATTAACCTTAACAGGAGAGATGCATTGTACCAGGTTGTAGCGTCAGTGCTAATTTCCACCTGTAGTCCCTGGGCAGATTCATTGATTGATTGTATTTAACTGACCTTAGCTCTCAACTGGAGCTGCTGGTGTGGGCGCCCTCACTTTGACGAGTGGCTGTGGTTTCGCGAGGTTACGGGCATAAATGCTGTCGTGTGCGGTGTAGCCAGGCAAAAAATCTCTATATTGAGAATAATCAATATTGAATCTAGTATTAATACACGATACACACTTTCAGTGAATATCCTAACTGAATAAAACTGGCCTTTCCTGAACGGTTTTAGAATCTTCTTGCAATGTTCAAAGAAAAAGTTGCACAGTGTACCCTTTTTAAAGTCTATTTTTGTAAAGAGCCTCAAGGACAGGAAGATCACAAATCAGTTTTCTGGCTGAGTGGACTGCCTTGTTTACAGCCACAGAGAGGAAAGTTTTAATGTTACTGAACCAAACAGTGATGGAGGCAATCTGGGGAGAAGTGTACATTTTGATTTTGATGGCTAATGCGAACTGCTTTAGAAAAAAGCTTACCGTATTTTCCACACTATAAGGCGCACTGTCATTGAATGGTCTATTTTCAAACTTTTTTCACATAAACCGCACCGGACTATAAGGCGCATTAAACGAAACACAGCAGTTAAATAAGTCAGTCAAACTTTATTTAACGTGTTCACAATAACTCTCAACTTTGTTCAGTTGTAACGCGTAAAAAAAATACTTTCTGAGTATTCACAATAACTCATAATTGTTCAAACGGGTGATTACGGCCTCCAGCACGCCTGCATCCCTCTCGTCATTATCCGAGTCAGTGTTGTTACTGTTCCCTGGCAGTTCAGTGATAATTCTGGTCTTGGTGAAAGCTCGGACCACAGTTGATAATATTGCAAGTGGTGCGGCTTTGTAGTTTACTAAAGTCGTATTAAGACACCCCCAATAAATTCATATATAAGGCGTTCTGGATTATAAGGCGCACAGTCATTTTTGATGAAATTAAAAGCTTATAAGTGCGCCATATAGTGCCTAGACGAGCTGTGCAGGTGTCAAGTAACGATTGCTTAAACATAGAACGCCGTGTCTGCAAATTGCCAGGTGTATGGTCCAAATGAGCAGATCTCACGACCTCTGCAGTGACCCACTGTGCACTCAGAGGTCAAAGGTTATCCGAGGGGCAGGTTCACATTGGATTGGGCTATTTTGGCTTTTACTGCTCTGAGGAGGTTTGAGCTCTGCCGCTAATGTACAAAGTGGTTTTATTAAATGGTATCCAAGCTTTGAAATGAGCCTACATCACAACATTGTAAGTATACCAACTGAATTGGCTCAACACGACTTTGTTTTTAAAAGAATCCCACATATAGAACTACAAAAATATTTACCGTAAAGTTGAAAGCATTTTAAGTGTAATTGCCAAAACGGTTGAATTTGGCAAAAAACACAATGTTGCGATTATGTATAAAACTCCTAAGAAATTTTTGTGGCAAGTAGTGTGATTCTTTCCTCCATGTGAAGAAATGAATGAATAAAATACATAAAAGTGCGCTTTCTTAAGGTTCTGTTTCATGGAAATGGAAGATGGACGAGTTTTATGCCATCCTGTTTAATATTATATCTTCCTCCAGGCCAAATAAGAGTCAGGTTCGTGGTGATTGAAGCCCACTCACAGTAAAGTAAAATAAATAAAAAACGGGGCGGCAGTCACTCAGTAAAGCATTTATCCACTGCTTCAAAGGTTGGCGGTTCTAATCCCACTCTTGACATGAAACATCATTCGTTGAGCAGCCAGATCTGGGCCAAATAAGAGTCAGGTTTGTGGCGATGGAAGCCCACTCACAGTGAAGTAAAAAAAAAAAAAAAAAAAAAAAAAAACTGACTCACAGGTTGACAATGAGGTTCCAGCTGCTGTGTCCTTGGTAGAGGTGTGCAAAAATATTGATATATCAATATATCGTATTATTTAATATGATGATACAGTATTGATATCGTGGGCTGCTGTATCGATATATCAAGTGTTTTTTGGTATATTTTACAAAATTATTTTGTTACAGTGCTACAGTTTTGATGTTTGTGTAGAGCAGGGGTCTCAAACTCAAATTACCTGGGGGCCACATTAGATAAAGTCTGAGTGAGGCTGGGCCGCATTGAGTATTCGATAAATAGCGGTTGCACGGAAAAAAAGAGAGAGAAAGAACAACATGCAACACTTTCTTAATCTTTAATAACAGTTCAGAACATGAAAATGTATTCAGAACGTAAGTTTAAACTAATACGTCTACTCTTCTTCTTTTGCCTACTTCTTGCTGGTTGAAACCTGGCTACGCTTCATCTTGTACAGCTGAGAGATATTTGGCTTGCAGGAGGAAGCATATGAGATCCTCAGGATAGATTGAAGATGCTCATCAATGAGCCTTGACCTGTATTAGGTGCTTTCACACCGACAGTATTTGGTGCGCACCAAACGGTCCATTCGAACCAGAAGTGGTTAGCTCGGTTCGTTTGCGTTGGTGTGAAAGCGTCAATCGGACTCTGACCCGGACCAACTCAAGCGGACCGACATCTCAAAAAAGAGGTGGTCTCGGTTCGCTTGAATCCGCACCCAAATGACCAACTTGCGGTTCCTCTGGTGTGAATGTGAACCCGGGTCCAAACCATAGACAGCAGGTCCAAACGAACTATTCTAGATGCATCATGGGAGAAACGCGTCTCCTTTGCCTGTAATGACGCGCTGTACGACTCCAGCCCAGTAACAGATTGTTGTCCAGACGCAGCCGCGATTCATTTTCGAATTATTTTACCAACAATGGCCAATAAAGAGAACGTAACACACAAAGATCAGAGCAAGAACGTGCGAACGTGTGGCTCCAGAGTGAGTCAAAAATGGGGGTGTGTACTTCTGTTCAGGACCTGCACAGAGACGACCCGGTGTTCCCCGTGATCATGTAGGAACCAGCATTTGTTATTTTAGGCTTTAATTAACCAAATAATGTTATGGCAATAGGCAATCGCCCATTCAATTGATTCACCTTTAAAAAATGTCCGGCTTTTAGCCTAGTGTGAGAAATACAATCGGACTAGATCCAAACCCGAGTCCCGAACCAGCAGGAGCAGCTCCGGTTCTGTCCGGGCTCAGATGACGTGGAGCGGGGAGTGAAAAGCGCTTTTCCCGGGAAGAACCAAATGCGGACACCAACTAAACTGTCCGGATGCTTTGCACCACCACGGAACCAGCCGCGGTTCTTGAGCGCGGAGGACAGGAGCAGCACAAACCTGTAGGTATAGTCCACAGAACATTCTCACTTTCCCCGCACGGAACACGGAACCAGCGCGCAGACGGCGGAACGTACCCGCTCAGACCCAGTCATTGCGCACTGGTCTTGCTCGCCACCGTCTGGAACCAGCACATGGAGGATGGAGCCTCCGGACCATCTGACCAACGCGCTTGTAGGACGACAGAAGACCAAGGACCAGACTCCAGCGCTATCATGAGGAGCTGCGCGCTACGGAGAGCGCTGTTGGCTGCTGCTGTTTCCCGAACTCTGGGCTGATGCGGTTTGTACAAAGTTCTATGTTGCTGTTTTATGAGTTCATGGTGATAAGATGAGGACGGCCCGCGGTATTAACAGGGAACATCAGTATTAGTTACTGGAGATATCACTGTTCTACCGGGATACAGAGGCTCGTTAATCGGACCAGTTTTGGTTCGTTTGCCGGTGTGAAAGTGGACCACACTGGAGTGTATCTGCTTCTCGTATGTCAAACATGGA